AGGACGGAATTGAAGAGCTTCTGAAGGACTTCAAGTACCGTTGTGCCACCCGCTTTCAGGAGCTCCGCTGTAATTCCATCCTCGCCTGGGGCCCTGCCGTTTTTAAGGTGCTGGAAAGCCATTCTAATCTCGCTCAGACTGACGTCCGGGGCATCATCGGAATAGTGTCGGATAAGACTTGCTCTTGGATCGTTACTCACACTTGTGAGTGGCTCCAACGATGATGTGTACAGCTGCCCATAGAACCTCTCAATCTCACTCAAAATCTTAAGTGTTCCGGAAACGATGCTGCCACACTCAATCTTCAGCTTTGACAGTTGGCTCTTTCTGGCAGATAGATCTCTGGCAAAGACTTTGGAGCGCTGGTTCCGCTCGATCGCTTCTTTAATACAAGCAGTATTAAAGTTGCGTAAGTCTTGCCACATGCATTTGGAGATCCGTCTGTTCAGTTGCCTGTATGCTGTCAAATCTGTTGACGATTGCAGCCTCATCTCCCGTCTGCCATGAGATTAAGAGTGTAATCAGAGAGTTTTTGTATTCTTCTGCGGCAGGTCTTGCAGAACTTAGTTCCGACCACATTGACAGTTTCCACGATCTTGTCATTCATATCGTCCACTGCATTGCAATCTTCTAGGCACTGAAAGCGGTTACGTAACTCGAGCTGAAAGGTTTCGGGATTCTGGATTAGACCAAGAGGGGGACGGAGCGTTGACTTCATTAGACGAGATCTCTCCAACTTAACGTTTAGGTTCAGTGTGCCTCTAACCATTCGGTGATCGCTGCCAGTTTTCACCCTTGCGATCACTGAGACATCACTGAACAGTTGGCGTCTGGTCATTATAATGAAGTCAGTCTCATTTTTTGTCGAACCGTCGGGGCTCGACCAAGTGCAATTTCTATGGGGCTGCTTCTGGAAGAAAGAGTTCATCATAAAGAGTGCCTCTTTCTCCATGAAGTCAGCCAACTGCTGGCCCCTAGTGTTCCATTGCCCTATCCCAAATTTCCCTACCTTCAGCTCACCGTTCTTTCTTGTGCCCATTTTTGCGTTTAAGTCTGCCATTAACACCGTACAGTGAGTTTTGGAGGAATGCATGGCTTTAGAAATGTCCTCATACATTTCCTCCGCCTCCTCATTGGGATGTTCCGACAGTATGACCTTCAGCGTATACCGTTTGGTGATTCTGAGTATAAGGTACGCAACCCTCGTCGATACACTCCCAATCATTAAAACTTTGTTAACGAGAGACTTCTTAATCATCATCATCATCATTACAGCCCTTCACAAGTCCACTGCTGAACATAGGCCTCCCCCAAGTAATGCCACAAAGCACGGTCCTGAGCCACCTGCATCCATCGACTTCCTGCATGTCTTACCAGGTCGTCACTCTATCTAGTGGGTGGTCGCCCTACACTACGCCTACCAGTACGAGGCTGCCACTCGAGAACCTTTCTTCCCCATCGGTTATCGGTTCTTCGAGCTATATGACCGGCCCATTGCCACTTCAGCTTACTAATCCGTTGGGCTATGTCGGTCACTCTGGTTTTACTGCGGATATCCTCATTTCTGAGTCTATCACGCAGTGAAACTCCGAGCATAGAACGAGAGACTTGTGGACGATAAATCCAACACCTCCTTGGAACAGATGGTTGCCCTCCCGGTGATAGAACATGTTGCCGGATTCGAGAATCACCGTGTCCTCCCCCTCTCTTCGGACCTCGGATAATCCTATAATATTCAAGCGCAACTTGTCTATCTCTTCTTCCAGCTCCAGGATCTTCTCGTCAGTCCTCAGGGTGCGTGCGTTAAATATTACCAGGTCAAGTCATCGTAGGTGGCAACCGAACCTCCACCGGAGATTCTTAGGACCCCCTGCCCCGCCATTACCATGGTCGCCACCGTAGCCAGGAATAGCAGGGTTGCCGGGGACTGGGGGCCGTCCATTTGTGTAACTCTTCATGGGGGGTTGGCTGGTAGAAAATGCTATACGGCATTAAGTCCGCCGTTTGTACCTTTAGTACAATATAGTGTAAATAAATAAATAAATATATTGCCATAGTTGCCACGCTTGGCGAGCGGGTTGGCAACCGCCGTTTTTTTTTGTTGTACAGTTGCTGTTATCAGGAAGATGCTGCTGCCCGTTTCCTTCTGTTGCCTTTTACGACACCGACAGGAAGATATAGGGTAGTGGATATTCTAAACCGCTACTACACGGCAAAGTTGGTTTAGTCGCTTCTTCAAAATTACACTACGTTATAAGCAGGAGTGCTACCAGGCCTGGGCTCGCGCATCGACGTCTCGGAATGCAAACACCAGCCCCCTTAAAAAGAAGTATAATTCTGCCTCCAGGTCTTTCAAAATTGTTATTGTCAAGGCAAAGTCAGAGCACATCGGCAGATTTGGTGAGAAACTAGTTCGTCTTCCGTCGGGAACACGTGCATTCTGGTGTCTCGCCCAGGCTGTCCAGGGGAACTTCTGTCTCCTCTTCCGTCTCTGCACAGGAAGGACGACGACTCACTGGCCCATGCCGCAAATGTACATCATAAACGTAGTTTCAAAATATTAAACAAAGTTTGAAACTAATATGAAAATTTATATATAAATATGGTACTTATTCGAAAAAATACCAGTCGTCCCGCATATAGACGTAACTAACATAATCATAATAGAAAATTAACATCTAAAGGAAGGAAAATACTTAACCCTCTTTATAGAAGTTCCGTAATCGGATAAAAATTTGCCTATAAGTTACTCCGGGCTACTAACTATATACACAGGTACAAAATTTCACGTAAAGGGTGAATCCTGAGATTCGGCATATTCAGTTTATACTCTTGGCGAAATTTATTTAAACAGATTATTTATAAGTAACAGTTTAACATAAATTTTAACTTAATTATAAACACATTTAACGAACAGGCATCAATTTTGGCAGGATGGTTCCTAAAATATAGCACTTTAAAAATTTTCACTTTTTGTGACCAGCTTGCTTTTGTTTTTTGCTTAAGGATCAAATTGGATTTGGTGTTGACTTGATTCGATAGTGATGTTACTAAGGAGACTTCGATATGGAGATGTATCGTTGTCACTGATTGAAGTTGGTTCTAATTCCAAATCAAGTTGATGAACAGAATTCTGATTGAGATTTTTTCTTCTTGCGGTTCTAATGATTCGAGTTAGTGTTACGTATATATCACTATCGGGACTGTGGGACGAGTGAGGTGGAATCAAACTTAAAGGACTTTGTTGTTATCGCTTTTTATTTCGGAATCTTCCTTATCTGAATAATTGTATTGTAATGTAATAACTAACTTATTTCTTCAAGATCCTGCATTTTTTCAAGTTTCTTCTTAACCGTAACGATTTGAACTTTCTCTACTTTTCTTTCTTGTAAGTTTCTGCTTCTGAGGACTTTCCGGCCCTCCGGGAGACAGAACGTGATGAATGGTGAACCTCATCGCCGGTTTTCCTCCCGCAGAATCTTCGCACCCCTGCCTCATTAAAGGGGTGCCGGAAACTCGGGGCTATTTCCTTTATTTCACGCCTCATGGTGCGAAACTATGGGTTGGTATATTTTACGCCGCTACCACACCGCGACTAGCCGAGTCTGTACTTTCGGCTTGTCGCTCGCTTAGTACCACCAGAGGGACACGTGTAGGGTGGGCCTAGGATTAGGTGGTCGAAACCTACGGACGCGGCCAACTTAAACCCCCCCCCCCTTCTTAAAAATTAATTTGAACTATTTTAAAAAGTTGATATTATCAGTTTACACTAAAAAAATGATCGTATTTAAAGTCTACTAAAATAAAATCACTCCTCATGTTTCTTCACAGAAGTTATTTTATTTTATACTTCAACATTAGTTTTGGACTACGTGAATAGTTGAAGTTTTGTATACTGTATCGTAACTAACTTCTCTAGTTACCAAAAATATAAACATTTTTAACTCGGCACACTTCATCCATCTACAAATGCTAAATTCATACGATACCCTGTATCTGCGCTAGCGCTATTCTGGATGGTTTTGAACTGTTATTTACAGCTTGCAGATGGACACTTTTTCATCTTGTTCCCCATATTAGATAATCCTCCTAGATACCCTCCATATGTTTAATATATCATTTAATGAAGGACAAGGACATCGACAAAAATTCCGTCAAAGAAATGAGCTAAATGAAAATTAGAACTGATTATTTGCCTATTTTACTATTGACGGTATAGTAATGTGCGGTTTTGTTGCGTAGGTAGTTTAAACGACTATGATCCACCGCTAAAAAGTGGTGTGTGTTTAATTAATACAAAATACTATGACTTTTCTCGCTGTCAAACAAAAAAATTTGTGAGAGTTAACAAAAAACAGGAAATATATTATTTATAGCATTAGCATCAATAGCATCACAGGATACTTTTATTAGCAGTTAGCATAAGACATAGCACAGTAGTGTAGTGTGTTACGATAAACGATGTGCATAAACAATTAGCCACAGGGTTTATTTATTATTATTACGTAATCTCATCTACATTATTTTAATAACCATCTAGGTAAAATTAAATGTTACCTACCTACCTACTAAACGTAATGATTATATTTTCTTTGCTACCTACTTTTACGTGCACACAATTTTATTTACTAACGTCACAATATTAATTTTATTTATTATAAAATAAAACTTTGCCTTTATAATAATTTAAGATTATAAAGGCATAATTTTCTGAGGGTAGTTATACAAATATTACAACAATACTGTGATTATGATTTTTGAACGAAACATTGATATTGATTTATTTTAGTGGTACCGGCAAGAGATAAGGATTTCTGATTGCTATATTCTTTACAACAATCTTTTGTCACTATGATATTTATTCTTCTTACTGTTACGTAAATGATTTCATCAAAATAAACGTTTGTTTATTTCATAAATAAATTTAATGCATCTTTGAACCAAAAGTGCCTTATTAGGAACAAAAGTGACGTTTAAATATTAATGAAATTGATTACAGAATGTCGTCAGTGAGGTGTAAGATAAGCCGCGCAGCCAGTACCATGCGCTTTTGGCCCGGTCTGTCTGGATGGTTGGAGCAAAACGTTACTCGTTTAATCATTAACAACCAAACTTGCAATCCTCGTACCATGGCTTCAAAAGTAGTGTCAATAGAAAATATAAATCCAAATAATGTGAAGTTGAAATACGCTGTGTGTGGGTCGCTAGTCATTTGTGCTGCTGAAATAGAAAAGGAGCTTAAAGAGGTAATTCAAATTATATTATACTTTCTCATGTTATTGTTATGAAATTTAAGAAAGTTTGGTCTATACACTCGTACCATAATTAAGAATTTAAGCTGTCATTAGAAACCACGAAAAATGCGCGCATGTCGTAAATGCCTATTTATCCCGGCATATTTTTTTAAACCATTTAAGTATCTAAGTCTAATGTATTAGAGCATACATGGTAAAGCCATGCTGCAGCTATATTATGGTTGTAGCACGAATGGGTCGGCTCGACTGGGGATGGACCACGCTCTCACAGAATACCGGCGTCAAATGGCACCTCTATGCTGTGTTCTATTTCCTGTAACACTACATCAGCGACAGAATCAGCAACAACGCTGAGATCATTCGGCGAGAAACAAACCCGCCTCCAAAGGTAGGATGCAAAAAAATATTGCATCCCGTCCTAGTCTGCTGACCTATAACGCCAAACACGGTGGCAACCTGCAGTACGCAACCTTGATGGGAGCGTGAGTGGCACCGTACTCCGGATCCGACAATGGTCCGAGGGGCCAAGAGGGGCATTAACGGAGACCTGATATCCATCCAGATGAGAGGTCAGCGGAAGGTCCAACAGGGAAGGTACATGATCTTCCACAACTAAGCTCCTCGTAGACGAGATAACCAGTTATGTCAGACCATATCAAAGTAAAGTCATAAACAGATCTACCCGCATAATCGGTTAAACGAGAACCAAGCCATTCAGCATGGTAGGCGTTAAAATTACCAAGTATCACGATCTCTGTGGATGGGACCTATTGTAGCACGGAGTCTGCAGCGATCAGGACGTGGTCGATCATTTGGACCTATATAGGCACCCGTAGACGCGGGGATGGTCGTCGCTGTCTACGTGATGGCTGTCGAGGCGTCGAAAACAGATGTCCTCTCTGACGTACACGCAAACTCCTGGCCGGACACAAAAGAGTGTTCTAATCTGTACTCCGGATAGGAGAGATATGAAATGTCAGCCGGAGAGGACACCTGTGTCCTTTGCTATTTTTATCTTCAGTAATTAAGTGTAGATTACAGTAACATGCAAGCCGTGTGGATTTCGCTTATCTCTACAATTAACGTTAGATAGGTTCGTTCACATGCCTTAGAGAGTATCGGGCAGCACTCCAGCGTTGAATATAGTGTTTTTGTTTTAGAATAAGGATGACAAACAAGCCCAGAGTTTACCTGATGTTAAGTGGTTGCTGAGGCTCTTGGGTATCTACATTTATCCTCGATTAGAAATCGAAATAAAGATATTCTTCAAACTGTAGATTAAACGAAAAATTTATTTATTTATTTCTTACATAAAAAATATGCATTGTAGTAAACATGAATTGAAGTTAATAAACTTTCGTAAAATTAAAATAAGAATCACACATTTTAGTACAAATAATTTAAAGTACTAAAGTTAAAGTAATAAGGTTCAAATTGTAATACTATTTGAACCTTATTACTTTAACTTTATACTATTTAGATCCTTTTTTACGGATAACATGGCTTTTTATATTAGTTCTTGATTAGTTATTTAGATTTTGATTTTCAATCGAGGAAAATGCAGGTATCTCTGTTCCACAGCATCCACTTACCATCAGGTATACTGTGTCCTCATTTGTCTACGATGTATGATGATTCATGATGTATATTTTGCAAAGTTAATAAAAATATTAATAGAATGTAACTTACGTTGCAGGGCGCCAAAAAACCTTACAAAAGGGTTATCAAGGCGAGCATTGGCGATGCTCAAGCTATGGGACAGAAACCTATCACGTTCATCAGACAGGTAATGATTCCAGTATTCATTTGTCACACGTATACATCGTGCTGGTGCTAGACTTAGCTTCAAATTGCTTCACATACCCAAATAGCTACAAAGTCGCAATGTTTGAACACACAATTACAGTAAGCCATCGGTTTTTCAATGCACGTCGAAGAAAACGAAGTTCACAGTTTGAGCTTGCCACACTTATCGCAAAGTTTATAAAAGAGTGTGAGGTTGATTTGTGTAGTTATGGAGTGTCAACAATGATCTGGACTATTGATGTCGTTATCGGTTTTATTTTAATTCAAATGAAATAAATAAAATAGCTGGTCATGGGTGTCGTAAAATATTATTACGACGATACCAGCAAAGTTATGCCTTTCAGCAGAATGCGCTACACCATCTCATTTACGTTAGACGTAAAATATCCGGACCAGCGTCATATGGTCGTGAATGCAATACGGATAGAACTGTGATCATCCAAGTTTGGCGAAAAAGCCAAATTCTCTAAATGAGAAAAACCTATGCAGGAGTAAACTTTTATGGATCGAATATTAAAATCATAAAATAAAACGGAGATACGGTGTCGGTGTTTACAAAATAGTCATAGCCATCTTTCGTTAAATATGAGTCAACGCTGGCACGTGCCAGTTGTCCTCAAAATTTTCACTCATATTTACCATTTGCGTACACAAAATGTAATCAAATGTTTTAAAAATGTTTGTCCAAACTTTGCTCACGTGTCTGGCGCCGGAGTTATATATAAACGAATTTTAAAAGCGATGTTGTTCATCAATTATGCTATCCAATTTATTTTAGTTTTGTATGTTAATATATTGACAACTACTTCAGGTATTAGCATGTGTGAGTTACCCGGAGCTAATCGAAAAGTACGACTTTCCCTCGGACGTGAAGCAGCGGGCCAGGGAAATTCTGGGGGCATGCGGGTATGTTGAAATACTTTTTGAAATAGTTTATTTTCTTTCATTCACCCTAAATAAATTATTGAATTTTTCTGTCAAGCCATTCTCGGTGGCGGCATAGAGTTAGAAAGTGAGCAGTATTAAAGCCGTCGGTTCTGCGCCTGATCTCTCCAGTCGTATCGTTTTGCAGTCCGATGGAATATGAGAGTGAGAGATTAGAGAGTGCACCTGTGCTTGTGCACACACTCGGCACTGTAATCCTGTCTTGCGCAAATGGCTAGTCTTCGTTGAGGCTGACCGCCGTGACCACAATTAATTCAGTTTTTTCCTGCTACCTTTATAAATTTTGAACATGTAAATTTTATCATGTTTATTTTTCCCTCGTGTATAATAAAGAACAATGTAAAGTAAATAAGACTATATATGTCCCACGGCTGGGCACAGGTTTCTTGTTCCTATTACTTTTTATAATGTTTTCCTTTACCAAAGAGTACGTGTTAAATCAGCACAATTTTTTTTATTTACAATTTAATTGGTACTATTTATTTAGTGCCGGCGGGGACCGATTGTTTTCAATAAAATATATTGCAATTTTTGTAACCGTTACCATCATAACCTATCAAAAGTTCTCTGTTGAAAGAACATTTGCCACAGTCGCCACGTTGCCACCAGTAGCAGGTGGATTGGCAACCGCAGTTTATTAGCTTTAGTTATTAGGAAGACGCTGCTGCCCATTTCCTGGTTTGTTTGCTATCTCGTCTCTTACGACTTCCACGGGACGATATGGAACAGTGGATTACTAATAACTAATTAAAACAGCATTTTCTTTTAAAACGAAGTGTAGAGCAGTCCTTGTTGGAGCGACGACCTGGTAATAAATGCAGGATCCTGTTAATCGATGGTACTCGCGTAAATCTAAGTTCAGCAACGGACTTGTGAAACACTATAATAATGCATGTGACTGCATAGTTGGTCTAGTGCTTATAAACGATCATGAGATCCCGGGTTCCAATCCCGAATCGAACTAAAATCAGTTATTGGGTTTTTTTGTTAAGAAATTCTCAACAACAATCTGGAGTCAGAAAGTTTGCGGTGTTGCACACTCGTGTCTCGGAAAGCACGTAAAGCCGCCCGGTATCCAAATGCCCTCGGATTACAGTCCCATCGGACGATGACAGTGAGAGAGTAGAGAGTGCATTTGTTGCGCATACACTCGCGCACTATAACCGTGTTGAGAATAGCCATTTGCGCAGCTGTTGACGCTGATATGTTTCTGATGTCCCCAGCGGTGGGTCGGTGGGCGCGTACTCGATGTCGCATGGCATCGAGTCGATCCGGCGGCACGTGGCAGAGTACATTGAGCGGCGCGACGGCCACGCGTCCGACTGGCGCAACGTATGGGCGCATCGGCCGGCGCATCAAACGCCATCAAGAACGTTCTCCAGCTTCTCTGCAACAATATCAACGGAAGACCGTCAGGTCGGTGAAATTCTTTTTTACCCAACTTCAACAAGTGAGTTAATAAAACTAACTTTACTGACTTTATCGCGTTCATCCGGGGACTGAGGGGACCCGAAAGAAATGTCGAGATTTAAAAATAAAATCATCATCATCATTACAGCCCTTTCATAAGTCCACTGCTGAATGTAGGCTTCTCCCAAGGAATGCCACAAAGCACAGTCGAGTTGAATCCATCGATTAAACTCTCGATCGAAGTTTGACTTACCTAGTCAGACTATTTGTTCCAGGTATACGTACTCGTCAACAACTTTGAGTTCAGGGCTACCAACAACTACCGGGAGATGAAGAAGCAGCTGATCGACTTCATAGAGAAAGAGGGACTCCTTATGATGAACTCTTTCTTTCACAAGCGCCCCCACAGAAACAGGACACCGGTCAAGCCCCGACAATTCGCAATAAATGAGATTGACTTCATTATGACGACTAGAAGACGACTGCTCATTGATGTCTCAGTGATCGCAAGGGTGAAAACTGGCAGCGATCACCGAATGGTTAGAGGCACACTGAACCTTAAGGTAAAGTTGAAGAGGATTAGTCCAATGAAGTCAATGTCTCCCTCGTGCTTTAATGCATTGTCCCGTAACCTTTCAGCTAGAATTACATAACCGTTTTCAATTCCTAGAAGACAATTAGATGCAGAGGACGATTTAAATGACAAGCTCGTGAAAACTGTCCATGCAGTCTGAGCTAAGTTCTGCAAGACAGCCGCAGAAGAACACAAAAACTCTCCGATCACACTCTTAATCTCATGACTGTTAGACGGAAAATGAAATTGCAATCTTCAACAGATTTGACAGCATACAGGCAACTGAACAGACACATCTCCAATTGCATGCGGCAGGACTTAGGCAACTTTAATACTGCTCGTATTGAAGAAGCGATCGAGCGGAACCAGTGCTCCAAAGTATGTGCCAGAGATCTATCTGCCAGAAAAAGCCAACTGTCAAAGCTGGTGACTGAGTGTAACAGCATCGTTTTTGGGACAACTAAGATTTTGAGTAAGATTGAGAGGTTCTAGGGTAGTTGTACACATCATCATTGGAACCACACGCTAGTGTAAGTAACGATCCGAGAGCAAGTTTTATCTGACACTATTCCGATGATATTCCGGACGTTAGTCTGAGCGAGATTAGAACCGCTCTCCAGCATCTTAATAACGGCAACGCCCCAGACGAGGATGGAATTACAGCGGAGCTTCTGAAAGCGGGTGGAAAACCGGTTTTTAAAGTCCTTCAGAAGCACTTCAATTCCGTCCTCCAGGCACTACTCCGGAGGCGTGGATCAGAAGTGTGGTGATTTTATTCTTAAAGAAAATAGACTTCGCTCTCTTGAAGAACTACAAACGATTTCCCCTCTGAGCCGCGTCTACGAGCTGTTTTCGAGAGTCATTACGAATCGTCTCGCACGCAACTCGACGACTTCCAGCCCCCCGAACAAGCCGGTTCCCGAAAAGGCTTTAATACCATAGATTTGGTCTAAGGTATTAAAGCCAAAGCTAAAATAAATACGTTAAATGAAACGCAATAAAATCTGTAAGATTATTTATATCTATATATAAGAAGTCATTAACAGAAGAGATAATTTAACTTCTATTCAGGTCTGTACGCTTTTTGTATATCTTAGATATATTATTATTTTTATTAAAAAACTTCTACTTTCGGGTTGATATCATATAAATTTGGAGTATGCTTAGACAACATTTAAAATAAATATAAATTTCATTCCTTTATTTTTATAATAAATACAAAACGTCGTGTAGAGCCAACTGAAAATCCATCACATGATCTCATTCTTGGATGCTGTTCTAATACCACACGGAAAATATATAGGCGATATTTGTTTGGCCAACAAAAAATGGTTCCGGTCTAAAAAATTGCCCCTAAGATACAGGAGAAAATCCTATAAAGAATATAAAATATGTAGAAGACTTACATAGGAATGACTACTAGTGTAACTAGTGGTTTAAATACTGCCATGGCCAATATGCCGCTGGTCGCGAGTACGAATACCAACCGGAGCACAAAAAGAAATTGTTAGGTTTTAGTGTATCGTGCCTAAAAGTCGATCTTCGGTGACGAATAATACTCTTTAGACCGAATTTCGGTCACGGCGGCCCCTCTGGCCGGAGACCAGGCATCTGCGCAGGGCGAGTTTTTTTTCAAAGTAGATTATACAATGGGACAGGTTATACAACCTATTTATAAAATTTATTTTAGAAACAGCTTTGAACTGACTATATAGTTCGCAGAGGTTATTATCAACCATGTAATAATTTGTATTATAATAGCCCTTTTTTAGGAAATAAATATTTTATTAAACAAAAACGGTATTTTGTTTAATAAAATATTTATTTCCTTCCAGGTGTGATGATCCCCATTCCGCAGTACCCGCTGTATTCGGCGTCTTTGGCTATGTACGGCCTGGAGCAAGTCGGCTACTATCTGGACGAGGAAAGCAACTGGGGACTTGACATAAAATGTATTAGCTGCTTAGTCGTCATCAACCCGGGAAATCCCACGGGACAGGTAATTGCTATCATATCTACTGGGTTTTAAGCAATTTATTTCTTTGAGTAATAGCCAAGCTGCCGCTATATTGTAGTTGTAACACGTATGGGTTGGTTCGACCGGAGAAGGCCCACCACATAATCGTTCTCGCAGAATACCAGTTTAAAATAGTAGCTTAATGCTGTTGTGTTTTGTATGTTGAGTTTAGAGAACCGGAGACCCTTTTTATTAGACACAAGGCATTCCATCTTAGTCATCAGGGGTGACAATCCATCTGCATTTTGATTCCTAATTAAGGATAAATTTAGATGCCTATGGGTCATAACATCGACTAATCATCAGGTGGACATATTTCATTTTTGCTCTGAAAAGGATTACGTAAACAGAATAAGACACCAATGCAATATTTATTGATTTATAGCTTATAGCTGTCTCCTTGGTCTAGTGGTTGTAGTAGTACGACTGCTGATCATTAGGTCCTGGGTTCGAATCCCGGGTCGGGCCAACAAAATCAATCATTGAGTTTTTCTGTCAAGAAATTCTCAGTTTTAGTTCTCAGTTCTCACCCCCGTGCCTCGGAAAGCACGTAAAGCCGTTGGTCCTGCGCCTGATCTCTCTGCGGTCGTATCGGTTTATCGTCCCATTGGATTATGAGAGTGAGGGAATATGGTAATAGAGAGTGCACCTGTGCTTGCGCATACACTTGGGCACTATAATCCTGTCCTGCGGCGATGGCTAGCCTCCGTTGAGGCAGGCCGCCGTGGCCGAAATTCGGTCAGGAGGACATTATTTATTGATTGGACAGGATTTATTTTCATATCGCATAAGTACAAGTGAATTCTAGGTGTTGACGCGCGAGAACATTGAATCAATTCTGAACTTCGCATACAAGCACGGCTTGCTTTTGTTTGCTGACGAGGTGTACCAGGATAATATCTACGCTGAGGGCAGCGAGTTCTACTCCTTCAAGAAAGTGAGCCAATTGAAAGGATATTGCGTATATATATATTTATTTATATATTACAAATACCCTCTTAATTTATATTTGTACTATAAATCTTTCAGCGACAATCGCTTCCACGTAAACATTCAAAATCATCAGCCTCTCTGGCCCTATGTTCAAGCAAAAGTTTTTATCATTAGGTTACATCGTAAATATAAATTAATTACATTTTTGTATTCCAATTGCATAACACGGCATATTTACGTTCACATCTAATCTAATATTCAAATCAAATCAAAAATATTTATTGCATGAATCTGGTAAAATTAAATAAGATTTTAAAAATATATTATACATTTTGTCTTCATATTTTATTTAAGTATTGTATCTTTAACAAGTATTATATAAATTCAATCAATAATATCACTTTATTTATTTTTTGAATTAGTGTAGCAATACTGAGTGACTTTTTTTACCGTCTGGAAAATAATATGGTGTTTTGTGTAAATGGAATAGTAGCTATCATCGAAAGTATTTGTAAAATATAATAAAATATAACTGGTTGGCAAAATTTCTAAATATCCAAAAAAAACATAAATAAAATTTATTCTACGGCATTTGCGTATAACTGAAAAAGGTGATATTATTTTAAACGGCGCAGCGTATACTAGAAACACAGGTGAACAAAAGTTGTAAGCGCGAGCGAGACGCATGCATATTTCTTTCGTTGTTCGAATGCCAACTGATGCCTACGATGAATATTGTCGTTATGTAAGCACCAGGCGGCCGAGTGGGAGCAGGCAATACGCACATTTGGAATCAGGCGTATTGCATAAGATCTAGCTACAATACTTGCCTTCGTAATGCTTGCAGTGCTAAGTGTTTTTAATATTTTTTTTTATAGGATAGGGTGACAAACGAGCACACAGTCCACCTGATGGTAAGTGGTTGCTGTGGCCCATAGACATCTACATCTATCCTCGATTACGAATCAAAATGCAGATGCGTTGTCACCCGTGAGGACTAAGATGGAATGCCTCGTTTCCAGTAAAAAAGGTCTCCGGTTCTCTACACTCACCATACGAAATACAGCAGCATTAAGCTACTATTTCACGCTGGTATTCTGTGAGAGCGTGGTCCTTCCCCGGTCAAAACGAACTATTCGTGCTACAACTATACTACTAATATAGCTGCAGCATGGCTCTACCACGTATAAATATGGTGCCATTTACTTTGACTAAAATGTCTATGTTAATTTCTAGCCTGATTACAAAACGACTAGTTAGATCCAATTTCTTAACGACAAAATTTCTAGCCGCAATGCATAACCACTATTGAATGTTGCGGTATTAAAGACAGCCCGCTGCATTTGTTCGTTTTGTAATTCATGACACTTAAAATACAGCATTATCAACCTCAGAGCAGAACGCAAAATGCTGATACATTACATGATATGCATTGCGATTAGGCATTTATTAATACGTCTTATTTCTTATTTGGCTGCAACATACATTGGTGCCGACCGAATGCAGCAGAAGCCACTTCCTTCCGCCGGAACCGAAAACATTGCGTTTCAGATTATTATTATTGTGATTTCGATCTTTCCTTCATACTTTTAAAGGCTAATTACATGTTAAATTTTAATAATCAATAAATATACAATTTATAATAATATTTTTAACGCCTATCGTATACTGCAACATCTTTGGCGTGTTTAAAAGATCGAAATCAACTTATTTACAAATCATACTTATTGATATTTACAAAACTATAAAACATCATCTGCTTACAAGGATCGTTGTTTACAAAAAAATTATCTTTTTAGCGACATCACAGTAATTGTTCAAAGTGTCCACCGACTCTTTCTAAACACAAAAATAAACTTTCATTAGCACTATGTGCTTCTTCTGTGTACACTTATCATTTTAGTACGGCCCACAAATAAAAGTCTAGAGGTTTTAGGTCTTGTGATCTCGCCGGCCAGTTCACAAGTCAGCTGCGACCTATCTACTTATAACCGGACTGGCTGTCCAGATATACGCGCACAGATTGTTCTTAATGAGCTGGACATTGGTCTTGCCGGAAGTAGTGTCGATGACAGAACGTATCATTTGCAGATACATTACTCCCGTCAATCGACCTTTAATCCATATTGGACTAATGATATAGACGTTCATAATTGCCTCTCAAACGTTAACACTAAAACGAACTTGATAAGCGTGTTTTTTGATTTTGTGTAGGTTTTGGAAATTCCACCAGTGCTGTGCACGTTGTAAATTCCAAGCACGGCTAAATATCGATTCGTCGCACCGTCTAAGTTTTCAAAAGACAAGACTCTTTCAGAAATATTGCTCAGAATCTTACCATTGCTAGGTAGTTAGGTATTCCACATTATATAAACAATTTATACGTCGTCACAATGAAAGCACGGGCGGCATTGTCCTTGCGCCTGTAACCCTGCGAAAGGACAAGGACAAGAACAAAGAGGCCTACGGCGAGTGCGGTGAGTGTTACAAATTCCTTGTTTTATTGCCGATAGTATAGTAGGTTGCGTATGATTTGAATTTCGATAGTTTTTATTTGATTTATTTATTTAGTTCAAAATGATTTTTTTTAATCTTTTTATTATGGAAAGTTTACTTGCAACTCGTAGCATTTATTGATAGATCAATTTTATAATATGTTAATGAATTAAAAAATTGTTGAACATCAGTGCTTTAGGTTTCTACTCCGTTCACGTTGTAACGCTCTCCCCCTCTCATAGTAATAATAAATATATTAGATATAATTAATTTACCCCTTTTCGATAAAAATTATATATATGTGACCAGGATTAATAAATTATGTTTTGATCTTTCTAAACGATCTTTCTAAAGGTTTAATAATAGGCCGTTTGTAATAATTTGGCGTGATCGTCTTAGTTAGGAGCCTTATTTACGTTGTGTTTGTTTAGTAACTTAGTTCTTTTAGGTGTCTTTTGGAAGAATGAATATTCACTAGAGCAATTGAAAGCTGTTGGTAGTGCCTTATAAGCTAAGTGAACCCCGTTCACGAAGACAGGGCTCGAAAAAAGTTAAGAACATAAAACATCCCTATTCCACTTGCATCAGGTTTACATTATTAATTATCCCTTCCCGCTCGGAAAAGGCTCAAAATATATCTATACAAAATACCCGATACAAGGGCTTCGCTCTCCTACATTTATTTTAAAAAAATGTAGGGGAGGTACACGGCCCCACACACGCCGTGCACGGTGAGTGCCAACCATTTTGATGCACTCCCCCCGTAGGGAACGCTAATTCGGGAACTGGACCGTAGTCCACAGCAAAATAACTGGCGAACCAGTAAAAGAGGCTTGGCCCCTTGCTAGTGCGTAAGCACAAACATCGACCGAAGTCGCGTATGTCAATGCGTGTAAACGCCAAACAGAATACGAACGAATCCAGCCACAGTGAATGTACGTCACACGGTTTAGGCAAATAGGCACACTGGCCGTAAACCCTCCGTGAGCGCCACCACCTGCCAGACCGCCGCTCCTTCAGACGTGGTGTAAGTGTATGGCATCACCACCAGTTGCATGATCAGCACGGCTACTAGCCGCAGAGCGTGTCATGAGTCTACCGCTCACCTCAAGGGAATGGGGTCCCACGTTGTGCGGCTTTCGGCCGCAGCCTTGAGAGTCTCCTCAGATCCTCCCGCCAGCTACCACCCGCATGAGGTCGACACATATGCTCCACCAACCAATACAACGGCAGATATAGCCAAAAGGCAGTTATAAGATAAGAGTAATAATTCGCCATCAGAAAGGGTTTGTGTCACTGACGTTGAGTAAATGCATTTTCGATCATGTTTGTCTCACCCACCAACAAGTTACCTTCAATCATTCAAAGGTGGGAAAGTTACAGAGATATAATATTACGTTGTTATATAAAACATCGTGGAGGGCAGACAGTCTGCAGCCCCGCAATGAAGGGACCCGACTTGGACAAAGCTACTTAGGTGTGAGTCAAACCAAGACGCAGAGAGCGCCATTGAGAATAGCGTCCCAACAAACAACCATCGCAGAGACGCAATGCTGCAGAACGCAACAAGCATCAATACGACTATCGTCGGGCTTACACCATTCCAAGGTCCCCCATACATCCCAGCAGACATCACCACCCGTATACCTCCATCGACCAGAACCACAAGAATGCGTCGAATCAGGCGCAGCACACCCGCAGATCCATCACAAGACGCAATACCGCAAGTAGCAGTAAGCATCAATGCAACTATCATACGGATGGCGCCCCATCACAACACACCCAACATGATCCCTATCGACTTTGGTAACAAAGTTGGTATTGTTGTTATATAAAAAATTTCACCAACGTATCATAGTAGCACGCTACTAAGACGCCAATGAACAAAACTCCACGTATCATAGCGCTAATGCACTAAGACATGAAGTTGAGTATGCCTGTTACACTTAAAAGTGCTACCAAACACACTCATCATCCCAATCCGAAAGATAGACGACACATCGCTATGCGCAACGACGTCGCCCACAAACGGTATGGATGTGCGATGTCCACGGGAAAGCCGTATTGCTACAACAAACCCGCTTACCACCAGCACTAAGATGTTAATTGTATACCTCCATCGACCAGAACCACAAGAATGCGTCGAATCAGGCGCAGCACACCCGCAGATCCATCACAAGACGCAATACCGCAAGTAGCAGTAAGCATCAATGCAACTATCATACGGATGGCGCCCCCTCACAACACACCCACATGATCCCTATCGACTTTGGTAACAAAGTTTGTATTGTTGTTATATAAAAAATATCACCAACGTATCATAGTAGCACGCTACTAAGACGCCAATGAACAAAACTCCACGTATCATAGCGCTAATGCACTAAGACATGAAGTTGAGTATGCCTGTTACACTTAAAAGTGCTACCAAACACACTCATCATCCCAATCCGAAATATAGACGACACATCGCTATGCGCAACGACGTCGCCCACAAACGGTATGGGTGTGCGATGTCCACGGGAAAGCCGCATTGCTACAACAAACCCGCTTACCACCGGCACTAAGATGATATGTCTAGGACACATCGGTTAGCGAGTCCAAGTTTACCTCGGACCAATTGCTCGTGAAGCAGCACACACGCCACCATAATATTCCTTTTCAAGTCCCTAATAAGGACTAGTCATTTTGCTACAGTACTAGGAGCAGTCAGTCACCCGACCACCCCATACAATGCTTATGCATCAAGGAGACCTCCTATAATATTGCTTTTGTATCATAGACCTTACTTTCATAAGTCATGTATATATAGGATTCGAACCCACGACCCTACTATTGTAATGCATATTATTCATAGAGACCTTCTATAGTATTGCTTTTGGATCATAGACCTTACTTTCATAAGTCATTAATATATAGGGTTCGAACCCACGACCCTACTATTGTAATGCATATTAATCATAGAGACCTTCTGTAGTATTGCTTTTGAATCATAGACCTTACTTTCATAAGTCATTCATATATAGGATTCGAACCCACGACCCTACTATTGTAATGCAAATTCATCATGGAGACCTTCTTTAGTATTGCTTTTGTATCATTGAGTTTAATATCATAAGTCCCTAATATAGGACTAGTCATTGTGCTACAGTACTTCAGGCAGTCGGGCTCCCGACCACCCCATATATATGTACAACTGCAGGTATGTACCTCCGACAGCTTCCTCCATACAAGACATCTATACGTGAACACCTTCCATAACTTAGGAAAATTTTCTTTAATACATGAACTCCTTCAACAACTTAGGAAATTTCATCTATACGTGAACTCCTTCCACAACTTAGAAAAATTTTCTTTTATACACGAACACCTCCCATGACTTAAACAATTTTTAACAAATTTTCTAATTATCTTATAAATGTTATTTAACTTAATTTTATAATATTTTTTGACTTGTATTTCTATTATTTATCTTATTTTAAATATTTTTTTTTCAAGTTTTTAAATAAATTTATTTATTACGAAAAACAATAATTTTGCCTTTAATTTACTATGTTATTGGGATAATGTCTGAAATATATTAAGTTTATGTTTATTAATTTAACTTAATTGCTTAATATATATCTTTTAAGACTATTTTTGACGCCCCTTTATATTGAATTTAATTATTAATAATAATATTGGGCCGTCACAACGTGTTACAATTTTTTTTCCAGACGGTAAAAAATCATACTGTATACTATGTCAGTTTTTTAAACTAACAATAAGTTACATACGGATTAAACATTTCTATTATAATTCTCATATTTAATCTCCGTTTTACAGTAAATGATGAAGTATAGAAGTGTGTACGTGTGGTTTATGACGTTCAACCATTTTTGAACCGTTTATAGTTTTTATTTTTATTTTGAGTGTCTTATAAGTCATCCTTAGTTTTTGAATGAAATGCTTGTAATATAAACTGGTTTTACATGAACCGCATGTAATAAAACGAATTGTTATCGATAACGAAACGTTGCTTGAATATAGAAATCGGGTATAAGACGTATGTACTGTTAGGTCAGGGTTTTGGAAATTATTTTTCAAAAAAGAACTTGAGTAATGAATCCCCGTTCATTATATTACGAAGTAAAAAGCTATTAAGGGACTATAAACTGTGTTAGAATTATAGATTCTAGAGAACTGAAGTGGTGTTTACTACTGAGCAATATTTCTGGGGTGGTCTACAGTAGACCCAGGCCAGACCACTCCGGGTTCAAATTCAGAAGGCAGTGCTCCTCGATATCACCCGCATCGTCCGCCGGTTTCTTTCCCTTTCCCCCTAAACCTCGGCCGTTTTATCTCCCCTGCCGAGAGCTTCTTCTGGTTGGGTTTATATTTATTTATATATTTTATGTTGACACATTTTAGTATATGGTTATGTATATTTATGTATACTCATCATTTTCATTAATATATCTATATAACCAACCAGATGAGAAAACAATATAAATACCCCAAATAATAATATATTGTTACGAGCTTAAGGAGTTGACTGTCACATGCCTTTTGTACGCCAATTATCAAGTCATATTTGCGTCGGCGGTCGAGTTGCAAATGATGGTTATATTATTTAACAGATCATTATAAGAAAGGGGAATGAAAGTGAACGCAAGTAAGAGAAAAGTTATGGTTTTTGAAAGAGAAGAAATTAAATTGATGTTTGAAATGAAAATAGAAGGGGAGTTGGTTGAGCAGGTAAATTTGTGTGTTTGGGATGTGTATTTAGCAGGGATGGGAGATATGATAAGAATATAGAACGACGAGTGAACGCAGAAAATAAAGTAAATGGGGCGCGTCACTCTCTTGTGGGCAGTCAGAATGTATCACAAAAGGCATGTATGGCAATTCACAATACACTGTGTATTAGTCCCTACTTTAACGTATGGTAGTGAAAGTTGAGTGTGGCAGAAGAAGTACGAGAGTAGAATAGGTAAATGCTGAGAAATGCGGTCGTTAAGGAGTACGTTAGGGCTGAATCTGAATTACAGGGTGAGAAATTGTTTGATAAGAGAAAAATGTGGTTTGCAAGAGACCCTCAGGAGTGACCAGGGTTAAGAAACGAATGCTTTGGTGGTTTGGCCATATAGAAAGAATGAGCGAGGAATGAGTGACAAAGTAAATTTATATTGCAGAAGTGAACGGAAGATTTGGGAAGGGACGATCTAGACGAAAGTTTATCGATCAAATTGGCGATATATTGAAAATGGCCCAGATTAAGTATACCCTTAACCGACGAACATGTATGCGTAGATCTATATAGATGTAAAGGAGGTGTGTCAGGATCGTGCCAAATGAAAGTCCGTAGTCTGCCTACCACTCTGGGTGACAGGCGTGAGTGTTTATATTTTATTTTATTTTCATTTCATATATTTACAGCCTATTCAGATGAAAAAACTAATTAAATACTTCGTGTAATAATGGTCTCCGCTTTATGGTATAATACTTATGTACCATATATATATATACATATATATATATATATATATATATATATATATATATATATATATATATATATATATACATATATATATATATATATATATATATATATATATATATATATATATGTCGGAGCAAGTACATCATCGGTTGACAAAGCATAAGCTTTGCATTGTCTTTTAATTGATTATAATAATCAACGGTGTATAATTATTAATACTACAATTTAATAAGAGCAATTTATCAGAAACATAACATGTAACTAGCTAGTTCTTTAAAACTCTTTTGGTTTACAAATCTCTTTATTGACCACTAATTCCTGGTAAAACAACTATTTATTCCATTATCAACTTTTAACTCAAATATGGTTTTAAATCGTAGAATAAATAATTGTCGATTTGATTAATAATCCTGATAATTGAAATTGCTTAAGTAAGCTAATGAATTCAATAAAAAGTTATTGTTTAGTCAAGTATTGACCAATCAAATCGTCGACCAATCAGAGCACACCTAAGTCGTTATTACGTTTTCCTTATTGAATGAACGCGGCAACAGAATCACTTCAGTTCCAGCGCTCGTCAGTGTAGTTCTATTTTCCTGGTAAAACTTTGCAAGTATTATTTGTGAGTCTCATAATAAGAAGTGTAGAATAAAGTTGTAGTGCAAAATTAAAAGTGCGTGGTTTTAGATCTCTTTCATTACAATGGAAACAATATGCGGTAGCTCGACTGAACCCTTGTCAAATGGGGACAGTGGTGCTGCCTCACCATAAAAACAACCACTAGGTTTTCCGCTCCAACAATCATGTAGTTGTGTCCTTCACATTGCGCCGGTGTGTAATTGTGACGGGGACACACTGCAGTATGGTCAAACTGTAATTACTCTATGCTGAATGTATAGAGCGTTACTCTGTCCTATTATTGATAACAATAAATTGCGCAAGCAAGAGAGCAAGTTGAACATCAGCTCTCACATTTTTACCATTTTTAATAATTAACACTATCCTGTTATTTCACACACAATTTGGGTTATCGTGTTACACACTATTTCCGACATATATATATATATATTTAAGCGACAGTAGCCTAATGGCAAGCCGCGGACCGCGAACTCAAAAGATCGTGGGTTCGAATCCGCCATTTTTGTCCGAAACGAGATATTCCATCTCAGTCCTCAGGGGTGACAACGCAAGTTCATTTTGATTCTTAAGGAAGATTGATGAAGAATTCTATGGGCCACAGCATTTCTTTACCATCGGGTGGACTGTGCGTTCGTTTGTTACCTTCAATCTAGAAAAAATGTACCACATGAGTAATTTAATTAATTTATCTTGTTTTTTTTTTTACTTAACAAACATTTTTAACATTTTGATTAAAATTGCAGGTGGTTCGCGAGATGGGCGAGCCGTACAGCTCAGAGCTGGAGCTGGCATCGTTCATGTCGGTGAATAAAGGCTACATGGGATAATGTGGGCTCCGTGGAGGCTGGATGGAGCTGCTCAACTTCCAGCCAGAAGTGCAGGCGCAGCTCTTCAAGTGCATCTCGGCCATGCTGTGCCCCACCACACTGGGGCAGACAGCAGTTGACTGCGTTATAAGTGTAACCACGTGATTTTAACGCTACCTTCATACTGAAACTATCGTCACGTGACGTGCATACCGTTAAAGCCTATTAAGGTCTACTGCCAAACAGGCCTCCTCCATAGACTACCTAATAGTGGGACATTTATCAAGGTTGCCACGCTCGGCAAGCTTCTCAACAGTCACAGTTTATTTTTTTATTTTTAGTCGTTACTAGGAAGACGCTGCTGCCCATCTCCGTTGTCTCCCTCTGTCGCCTCTCACGACAACCACTGGATGATATGGGGTAGTGGATATTCTTACACCGTCACTACGCGGTAAATGAAATACATGTTCGATTTCTTTATTTTCTGCTTATCAGAACTCCACTGCTTAAGGGGAAATATAACCTCAAATGGCTTAGCAAGATCCTCCGTTATGCCGAAAGTATTGCAGCATTCATTTTGAAATAAATATATGGTAAAGTTGAGGATTAATGTTAAGGTTTATGTTAGACGAAAACACGATTCCGAAAAATTTTCTCGATAGAAAAAAAAATCCAAAGTTACCTCCAAACTGAACAATAAACCGCTGTTATTCATAAAATACTTTAAATAAGATCATGAAACTTTGCATACTAACTGAACTGACCATAAAGCAGTGCTTATATTATTTACTTTTTTTTAAATATCATTATTTTCACTGTAAAAAGAAATTATAGATCGTCTAAGCTGAAATGACGCGCCCCACTATCGCAACGCACACAAGCAAATTTAAAATATGGACGCAATACATATACAAATGCCATTGTAATTGGTCATTCGGTTGTCGGTGAGACTAAAGCGTAGGAGCACGCGTCGTTCGATTGTAAAAGTACCGTCAGCATGTCGACCAAAAAACATTTACGGAGTCAAGTAAGTAAAATAATACGTTATTGCTTAAAATCTTATTTAATCATACATCGTTTTTATGGTGGTTTACATGCATACATTTTACAGGCAAAAGAAATTACTGCGAAAGTGTACCGCAGAATGAAATATGAAGCGGAAAATGGAGTGGAAAAACTATCTGACGCTAGATGGCGAACTGCTCAAGCCGTTGGTGTTAGTGAATCTACGATTACACGAATTTTGAAAGAAGAGAAGCAAGCTAGTACATCAAATGATACGTCACAAAAAATTTTTAGATCGCCCTCAAAACCAAAAAGGAAGCGTACCAAGTCTAACCTGGATGATTTTGATATGGGTATACTTCGCAGAACGATAGCGACATTTCATACAGAATTTAATGAATTACCAACGTTAAGAAAGCTGAAGCAAGTATTAACAGAAAGAATTGGTTTTAACGGTTGTATAGAAACTCTGCGTATCATTTTGTAGGAATCGGGCTACGAGTGGTCCAAAATAGATGACAACCGTAAAGCTTTAGTAGAAAAGCATGATGTCCAAATGTTACGCTTTCAATATTTGAGGCAATTAAAAAAATATCGTGACGAGGGCCGCTATATCGTATACACAGATGAAAGTTATGTTCATACAACACATCTGCAAAACATGTGCTGGAAACCAGTAAAAGGAGTATCAGCAGTTCAAAAAAAGTTGTCGAAAGGTACTCGGGTCATAATTGTTCACGCTGGTGGATGTGAAGGATTTGTTCCAAATGCTAGTTTGGTGTATAAAGCAAACTACACAAGTGGAGATTATCACGACAACATGAATCTGGATAATTATAAGAAATGGCTCACCACACAATTACTGCCCAATCTCCCGGTAAAGGCTGTCATCGTTGTGATAACTCTTCTTACCACAATGCTTTATTAGAAAAAGCTCCCAACTCCAACTCAAATAAGCAAGTCATGCAAACGTGGCTTGCAGAAAAAAATATTCAGTTTGACGAATCAATGAAAAAAATTGAACTGTACGATCTTATTTTAAAAAATAAGGACAGATTCAAGAGGTTCGTTATTGACGAACTGATTCAATCAAAAAGGGTTTGAAATTCTACGCCTACCACCTTATCACCCGGAACTAAATCCAATTGAAAATATATGGGGAATATTAAAAAACTACGTGGCTAATAAAAATGTTTCACAAAATTTTACATCCATTATGTCACTTATAAATGAACGACTCGAAATGATTGATAGTACTATGTGGGCAAATGCATGTCGGCATGTTGAAGACACAGAAAAACAGTATTTGCAATATTTTGACATGGACTTTGAATTTATTATTTCTGTTAATGACTCTGATTCAGATGAAAGTGAATCTATGGAGATGAGTGAATAGTGATACTTTACATAATTTACATGCATATTATTATAGTAATTATACTAATTTGTAAAATAAATATTTCGAAAGAATATCAATCTGGTTTAATTAATCTACATAATTACAAAATAAAAACAATATATTTTGAACCATTAATTAACAAATAGAAGAAATACCATCATAATTAAATAATTTAACTTCAATTTCTTTGTAGACCGTATTTGCTAAGAAGCGGATTTTCTTGGATTTTTTGTCCAACTTGTCATAATTGCCTGAAGGTGGCAGAGAGCGGACGTTTTGTTTCATACAATGCCCCAACGCTGCTCCCTAAGGAGAGCGTTGTCGGATTTATCACGCGACTAGTCGACCGTCACGTAGGCATACAGATCATAGTTCGCGGAGCAGTCGACGCTCAAACACAGATGAAGCGTCGTTATTAATATTTACACTCACACATCGAAATCAACTAATTAAGTAGTGGGGCGTGTCATTTCAGTTTAGACAAGCTTTACCTAAACTATCGGCGCGTAAGCTTGGTTCATGTCGCTCCGTTAGTATTGCTCCGGTTTTTGAAGGGAGAAGTTGTGTCGCTTACGATCAGAAAACACATTACGCAACAGGAAGACGTAAAATTAAAATGGGAAATAACCGTTATAAAAATAAGAAGCGACTAGGTTGGCGTTAAGAAACAGGCATATATATGATAAACATAATGAAATAAGTATCTAACGACCTAACTACTTAGAGTATTAGTGATTACAAACATGTCGGTACATAGCATACGACGCGCGGGGAAGTAGGGGCGAAATTAGAATTTGAGCTAACTTACTCTCACCTCTTAACACATCTCCGCACGTGGTAAAACCACGTTGCAGCTATATTGTGTCTATAGCACGAATGGGTCAGCTCGAACGAGGTACAACCACTCTCTCACAAAACTGCGACGTAAAATAGCAGCTAAATGCTGCTGTGTTTCGTATAGTGAGTCTAGAAAACCGGAGACCCTTTTTACTAAAAACGAAGCATTCTATCTTGATCCTCAAGGGTGACAACGCATCTGCATTTTTTTCTTAATCAGGGATAAATGTAGTTATTCTATGGGTCACAGCATCCACTTACTACCTGTGAGTTATGTGCTCTTTGACACCCCTATTCTACAAAAAAAATCCCACAGATAGATTCATAAATCATATCTCTCTCTTTTTCTCTATCGTCTCAATATTAGCAACCCATTTTTAATAGAATAGAATAAGGGTGATAGACGAGCACACAGTCCACCTGATAATAAGTGAATGCTGTGGCCCATAAACACTTTAATCTATCTCAGCTTAAGAATGGTCCTGCAGATATATCACCACTGAAAACTAAGATGGAATCATTACCAACGAAAAAGGTTTCCGATCTCATCACTCTTTTATCTTGCTATATGATGTTAATATTCTGTTAAATATTTACAGGTTGGCAACTGCAGTTATAAAACTATCTTTATCCCGTTTTATTTCCCCATGTCGCCTCTCACGACGCCCATGGGACGATATAAGATAATTGATTCTCTTAATATACGGCCTAATTTAAATTTATAAATTGAGGATTGATTTGTACATCTTTTTTCCTAACTAGTAGTCTATCTAGGTAGATACAACTCTTTACATGTTTCTGCGGCGTAATAGCTAAGCAACCACTGTGTTACGAGATCTAAACCTCAAGGGTATAAAGAACCAATATAATTACAAGCCCAGAAGCATTCCATCTCAGTCCTCAGCGCTGACAAGGCATCTGTAGCCTTTTTTGTTTGAAGAAGTTGGGTGCGTGTGTTCATGTATGTCAACTCTGTTTCACTATCAATCAAATATATAAAAAACAAATAACGATTCGCTAATGAATTAATTTAGCCAAGTCAGCCTTAGCAGTCAGCCAGCAGTCCCCTGCTGCACACAAGTCTCTTCTTCATTCGACCCGAATTTTAGCCGACTGATTCAATATTTTGTTTTTGGCTCTGTGGGGTTGTGAATCAAACCAAAGAAAAAAGTTCCTTAAATAGTGTTATGGTTATGTTACAGATATTTTTTAGATCACGATTTATATTGCTAACTAAAGCGCGTACGGGGAGACTCGTGCAAAGCCGTGATAGTCCTAATATACAAAGGAAAAGGGTCGCAGCAAGTCTGTAAAAACTACCGTGGCATCATCCTTCCTAGTATTTTGGGAAAACTGTTTGCTAAGGTACTAATTGAAAGAGTTATGAAAGAAATGATGGAAAAATTTGGGATGTGCAAGCAGGATTTAGTAAGGGAATGGCGTGAACAGATCATTTTCCATGTGCATGATCGCGGAGAAGTTTTTGGCTAAAAATCAAAAAGTTTTTGTGCGTTCATGGACTTGGAAAAGGCTTATCCGCGTGAACAGGGATGTGTTATGGCAAACTCTGAATTCATTTAAGTTGAGCACTGGGTTGAAACAGGCATTAAAGTCTCTGTATAGGGACTCGAGTGCTTGTGTTAGGATCAACGGGGTATAGCCGGACTGGTTTGGCATCCATAAAGGTATCATGTCTCTTTACTCTATTGTGGGTCTAACTGGAAGTAAGAATGTATCAAAAAAGGCACGTATGGCAATTCACATGCTGTGTTAGTTCCTACTCTAATGTATGGTAGTGAAAGTTGGGTGTGGCAGAAGAAGCACGAGAGTAGAATAAATGCAGTAGAAATGCTAAGGAGTATGTTAGGGCTGAATCTGTGTGACAGGCTGAGAAACTGTGTGATAAAAGAAGAGTGTGGTTTGCACGATGATGCTGTGAGCAGGATTAAGAAAGGAGTGCTTCGGTGGTTTGGTCATATAGAAAAAAATGAATGAGGAAAGACTGACAAAGACCCTTGTTGCCTTAGCCAGTATCGGAATTCTCGGCGTCGACATATCAAGTGACGTGGAGTTTCGTGGTCTCTTGGAAGAGAAGGCCAAATTGGCCTCTAAAAAGCTTGGCGTGCTCAGCAGAGCGGGAGAGTATTACATGCCGGCACACCACCTACAACTTTACAGGGCGCAGGTTCGGCCGCACATGGAATACTGTTCCCATCTCTAGGCTGGGGCTGCCCGGTGCCAGCTCCTTCCACCTGACCGCATCCAATGCAGAGCGGCTCGAACCGTCGACGACCGAGTGCTTTCCGATCGGTTCGATTAACTGGTGCTGCGAAGAGATGTTGCATCTCTTTGCGTATTTTATCGCATCTATCACGGGGAGTGCTCTGAGGAATTGTTCGGATTAATCCCAGCCGCCAAATTTCATGAACACACTACGCGGCAAACCTCCCGAAACCATCCACACCATCTGGATACTTGGCGGTCCCCTACTGTACGTTTCACTAGGAGTTTTCTCCCGCGTACGACCTCTCTGTGGAATAGTTTACCACCGGCGATTTTTCAGAAACGATACGACCTGGGGACCTTCAAGAAAGGAGCTTACTCCTGTATAAAGAGTCGGCAACGCACCTGCAATTCCTCTGGTATTGCGGATGTTCATGGGCGGCGGTAGTCACTTAACATCAGATGAACCGTATGCTCGTTTGCCCCTTCTTCTATAAAAAAGCAATGTTGCAGAAGTGAATGGAAGAGTCGGAAAGGAATGCCCTAGGCGAAAGTTTGTCGACCAAATTGGCGATATATTAAAAATGGGCCAAATTAAGAGTACCCTTAACGAACATTTATGCGTATTTATATGTGGCGGTAGCGAGAGAGGTATGTCAGGATCGTGCTAAATAGAAGTCTGTAGTCTCTGCCTATCCCTCTGGGTGACAGGCGTGTGTGTTTATGTATCTATGTATATTGCTAAGGGCTAAGGTTTTTAATTTAAAGTCCTTGATATCTGAAATATAGTTACTATATTGTGTTGTCATATAATTCGGCCCATGACCAGCAGTGGCCTTTCACGTGTTGATTATGATGATGATGATGAAATAAGTTATTGTTGTTTCAGGCTAAACCCCCTCAACTGGGAGAGCCGTCATACGAGCTGTGGCTACAAGAGAAGACCGCCGTGCTGTCATCCCTCAACAAGAGAGCTAGGATGATAGTCGACGACTTCAACTCCATGCCGGGCTTTTCCTACAACGTTGTACAAGTAACCCAAATTAATGTTGTACTGACATTTTATATACTTTTATTAGGATATTTCGACATTGCATAGAATTACTCTTAAGTTACGTTGCGCGAGAACAAAAGTTTTTTTATAGAGTATGTTTCTATAAATCAAAATTTACAATTTTTTAAGTAATTACCTACTAGCGTATATCTACAGAGACGAACCCTAGCTACAGCGATTGAGTGGGATTGAACGTATCAGCAAGTTCGATTGTTAACAAATTTAATTTTACGAATTTTATCGCGTTTAATTTTAACTAATTAAAAGTTGAAGGTAGCTTTAATAAATTATACCATGAGCGGGGAGCTACCACGGGTGGTGTAAAGTGCTCGAAACTTTGTGGATTAAAAAAGTTTAAAGGTTTATTCTGTGTGTAGTATTCGCATAAACATAAGAAATCATGATGTAGACTGTCAGCACTACGCAATTATTCACGTGAACTTTTGCAATCACCGGAAACTTCACATTAACTGGATGTGTTTACGTAGTTATATGTATATATCGGTCAATACGCGCAGGTAACAGTGCGTTGCTTTTCCGGTCGGCCAACAGAGGTCGCTACCAAAGACTGTGTACTCGTATACTACCAGGCGAGCTGTCTCATATACTACACTGTCGACGAGGGCCCACGAGGCAAGGCGAGAACGAGAGTGTACAGGATACTTTCGCAGAGTCTTGACTTCCCTCGCCTCGCCTCGCGTGTCGGTTTTTGGTGCGCGAGTCAAAGGGCCTCGCGTTCTCTCACGAGTGGACACAAGTGCGTCACTGCACACGCGCGCTTCGTTCAGTCTACCGCAAGACGTTGTTGCGTGCAGTATATTTGGTTATCCTATATTACAAAGATTTAATGTGGAACCATGAGAGCCAACTCAATTTTCGTGAAATTTATCAAAGTGAACCTATTTTGTGGGAGCCCACGCATCGTTACCACAATGACAGAAATCCATCCGTCCGAAATCATGCGTCCATCTCCTCGCCGTCCCTCACGGTAACTGAATAAACAAGAATTTACAAGGTCACACTCGTGAAAGCGCTTTCTCGTGCGAGGAGCTCGTGAGAGGCATGGCGAGTTCACTCGTCAAGAGTGTACAGCCGCCATTAAATGTTACACTAAGTTACGCTCAATTCTCCGAAACTCCTTTAGTCGACTGTGAGCCAAAGTTTAGACCTTACAGATGAGAAACGAATGTATTTACTCAGAGCAACACTTGGGTGCACTTTCAATTCATTATTTTTAAATTGTCTTTTTTGCTGTCGGGGGTTTTTTATTTATTTATTTTATTTTAGATTTTTTAGTGTCCCGATACACTCTTATGAACTAAATTTCATATGAAAGCACGTGGTCCGCCACAAACGACTCATTATTACGCTATAGACGTGCCCGATGTAAAAAGCTTGTCGTATGATATTTATGCGATTCTCATAAACTAACTTATGTGTTTCTGTAGCCTATAATATTGCCAATAAAGACACAGATAGCAACGTGTTTTTACAGGTGATCCAGGTTTGCTAATTTTAGTACGAAATATTATTATCGATGTTACTAAATTCAAGCCCACGCGAGCGAAGCCATGGGTAAAAAGCCAGTATTTCTGTAAAATATTAATAAATAAATAAATATGCGAATGGAACGTTAATATTTTATTAACATTTAAAGCTTAAGCACCGTTAGCAGTTTGTATAAAAGCTGCATTGTATTGCAGGGCGCGATGTACGCGTTCCCGCGGATCGAGTTGCCAGCGAAAGCTATCGAGGTTGCGAAGACGCATGGCAAGGCACCCGATGTCTTCTACGCGTTCAAACTGCTCGAGGAAACTGGTTTATAATCATTGTTTTCTTATTTACACACAAGCTATAACGTACTATTTCATCCCCTTGGGGGTTGAATTTTCCAAAATCCTTTCGTAGTGTGTGTCTACATCGAAAAAGGAGTAATGTTATCTAGTGTATGTATGTATGTGTATTTCATTGGCACGCCCTGTAGCGTAAACGGCTTGATGAATCTTAACATACGGGATGTCTTTAGAATTGTATTAATTGTAGAAATTACATAGGATATGTACGATATTCTACTGGACTTGGCGACTTACCGCTACAATGTCCATGCAACCACGCATCCAGGAGCTGGCTAAAGGAGCTCGGGACAGTCGATGCGATGATAGTAATATCAAAGTTCAGCAGAATGTATCGCACAAGAGGCCATAGCCAATAGCACAACACTTCAAGAGTCCTTCAGAGACTTCCAGAGAACGAAAAACATAATATATAAAAATCTGTTCCAGTACGGAACAGGATATAAAACTTTTCTTCTTTCAGAAAACTTTTTTACGCATTTGGGTTTTTCATTTACTATTTTAACCTTAGGACAATTTTTAAGAGAAAACTTCTTTAGGCATATTGAGCATTTTGTGCAGCTAAGAGTTATACTTCTGACATGCAGTCCTTACGACTGATAGTTTTTTATAGAATAAGGGTGACAAACGAGCACACAGTCCACCTGATGGTAAGTGGATGCTGTGACGCGTAGACGTCTAGATATATCCTCGATTAGGAAACAAAATGCAGATACATTATCACACCTTACGACTAAAATAATACCTCGTTTTCAGTAAAAAGGGTCTCCGGTTCTCTTCACTCGCCATATAAAACACAGCACAGCATGGAACTGCTATTTTACGCTTGATTCTGTGAGAGCGAGGTCCTTCCGACGAGCTGACTCATTCACGCTACAGCTATATTCGTATATATCTGCAGTGTGGCTCTACTACATAGATTAAAACATTTACAATTAACATTTAGAATACGTACAATGTTGAAAATAAAAGTTTACAATGTGACACAGGCATCTGTGTCGTGCCGGGTTCCGGATTCGGGCAGAAGCCCGGCACCTTCCACTTCCGCACCACCATCCTGCCACAGCCAGAGCTGCTGCATCAGATGCTGGACATCTTCAGAGATTTCCAAGTTCACTGCAGAGTACGCCTAGGAACCATCAACCTGCCTTCATTACAACCACACTAATATTTTAGTTCTCTTTACAATACGATATACAAATAAAAATATACATTTTATTGACACAATTATTATTATTTTTTATGATGTTTTTTACACAATTTTGTATAGGTAATAATATTTCTGTATCTTTTTGCATAATTTCTCGATATGAACCGATGTTTGTTCGCATAAAGTTACTCAAATTAGTTGTTACATATTATATTAAATTTAAGTTTAAGTGAATTGTGATTTTTTAGATATTGAGTTTTTAATACTATTTAAACACAATTATTATTATTTGTTATAAAGAAAATGCATAAAAACCCATTTTATTGATTATAAACTATTTTAAATACATATATGTACGTGAGCGCGCATTCTTACAATAGATTGAGCATGGTTGTGGCTTTGTTTTTGTGGCACTTAAAATATACATAGCGCTCCGTATTTCCTTCTTGGTATGACATTATGTCATACGTTTTTAAAATAAAATATGAACATGTCGATTGCAGCTAAATTTAAACTTTCTAATAAAATGTATGTTTTAAATATTTTGTTTCATATTATATATTTTTTGCTATACAGCATTTTTAATAATAAATATACGTAATAATATATTCAGTAGTGAAATATTAATTTACTCACAAAAGATCTCTTAGATCAAATGTAATTTTAACACATACATTGAATTTTTTTTTTGTTTTTATCTACAAAACCGTTTTTATATCATTGATTATTATGTATGTCTAGACTAGGCCGTGGCATTGTCTTGTTTTAGTGCCGTACAAAAATTGTACAATTTTTTGATTTTTTTTGTTTTTTTTCTTCTTAATATTACTATACGTTTAACATTTTTGCCTTTATATAAAATGTTCAATTTGATAAAGACGCAGAATGAAATACTTCATCATCATCATCATCATCATTACAGCCTTTCATAAGTCCACTGCACTCATACGCCTCCCCCAAGGAATGCCACAAAGCGCGGTCCTGAGCCACCTGCATCCATCGACTTCCTGCATGTCTTACCAGCTCGTCACTCCATCTAGTGGGGGGTCGCCCTACACTACGCCTACCGGTACGAGGCTGCCACTCGAGAACGTTTTTTCCCCAACGGTTGTCGGTTCTTTGAGCTATATGCCCGGCCTATTGCCACTTCAGCTTACTAATCCGTTGGGCTATGTCGGTCACTCTGGTTCTACTGCGGATATCCTCATTTCTAAGTTTATCACGCAGAGAAACTCCGAGCATAGCCCTCTCCATAGCTAGCTGAGCGACTTTGAGTGTCCTCATACGGCCAGCAGTGAAGGACCACGTCTCGGTTCCATATGTCATAACTGGCAACTCGCACTGGTTGTACAATTTCGTTTTCAGGTTTTGAGGTAAACCTGACGAGAAGATGTAACGTAATTTCCCGAACGCTGCCCACCGAGTTGAATCCGTCGATTGACCTCTCGGTCGAAGTTGGACTTACCTAGTCGGACTATTTGTCCCAGGTAAACGTACTCGTCAACAACTTCGAGCTTAGTGCTCCCAACAACTAGCGGCATAGGTGTGACATGGACATTAAACATGATCTTTGTTTTGTCCATGTTCATCTTAAGACCTATCCGTTGGGAGGCACTATTGAGGTCATTGAGCATAGCGCTTAGGTCCTCCAGCGATTCTGCCATAAGGACTATATCGTCGGCAAATCGAAGGTGAGTGGTGTACTAGCCATTGATGTTAATATCGTGTCCTTTCCAGTCCAGTAGCTTGAAAACGTCTTCCAATGCAGCGGTGAAGAGTTTCGGGGATATAACGTCACCCTGTCTTACACCTCTCTGCAGTTGGATAGGTTTCGTACTCTGGTTCTGTACTCGAATAGCCATCGTAGCCCTACTGTACAAACACTTCAGCACTTCGATATACCGACAGTCAACTTGGCACCGCTGAAGAGACTGTAGCACCGCCCAAATTTCGACGGAATTAAAGGCTTTCTCATAGTCCACATACGCCAGGCAAAGTGGCAGATTGTAACTCTTCGGACTTCTGTACAATTTGCCGAAGGGTATGTATGTGGTCCATGGTGCTAAAGCCTTTTCGGAAAACGGCTTGTTCGGGAGACTGGAATCGTCGAGTCTGCGTGTGAGACGATTCGTAATGACTCTCGAAAACAGCACGTAGACGCGGCTCAGAAGGGATATCAGTCTGTAGTTCTTCAAGAGAGCATTGTCACTTTTCTTGAAGAACAAGACCACCGCACTTCTGCTCCACGCCTCGGGAGTAGTGCCACCATGGAGGACGTAATTAAAGAGCTTCTGAAGATTTTAAGTACCGGTGTTTTCCACCCGCTTTCAGAAGCTCCGCTGTAATTCCATCCTCGCCCGGGGACTTGCCGTTTTTAAGGTGCTTGAGAGCCATTCTAATCTCACTCAGACTGATGTCCGGGATGTCATCGGAATGAAATACTTACGCATAATTAATTTTGTTAGATTAAATATGGATGAAATATTATACTAATGTTAAATGTAATCCTGTTACTGTTTTCAATATTCGATTTGAACAGTGTTGCCACATTGATATGTCTAAAAGATAAATCCTTTTTATTAAAAAATGTTTTCATTAGGCTCAGAGCAGTAATAGAAAGCTTAATTTTATTGAAATTTCCTTTGTAAAAGAGATTTTGTTTCAATTTTTACGGTTTATTATTTTAAATAATTAAAAATTAAAGTCAAAATTAAAGTAGTTCCATTGAATTGGTTTATGATATTTTGAATCCATATCCTCCTTAAGGAATGCTATATTTTATATTGCATTCCTTAAGCGCAAAGCGTGTAGGAATGTTCTACAAGCGCCGAAAAATCAATAATCCAACGTTTTGTCCTATGAAATCTAATTATTTCTGATCTTAATATTTGCTCTAATGTCATCAAGAAAATAGAATGTAGGGATAAGTTTGTATGCACTGAACACCGACCGTAAATCCTCATTAGTTATAAACAGTAGTAATACAGTCAAAGGAATATTTAGTCACGATATTCGATATTAATTACCATTACCAACGTAGTGTTAGAAGCGCCGAATGGAATCCACCATGTGCTGGAACTCCTCCCTCGAATTTAAAATGGTTGTTCTAAAATGGAAAGTGCCCGGTTTTTGACCAAAACCCGAACCTGGGACTACGTACACTCCTGCAAAAGAAAGCGTTCTACTTGTGATGTTATAATGACATGTTTTAAAAAAAATGTTATTCCTAGGAGAAACGTTATATATGTAGAAAATAGCATTAACAGGCTTTTATATTTTGATTAAAACTACTTTTACGGATTTTATCGCGTTTTATTTATTTTATTTTTAATACCCGACGTTTCGGGAGCTTTCCAGCACCCATGGTCACGGGGGACTGGACTGGGGGACATGGGTGCTGGAAAACACCCGAAACGTCGGGTATTAAAAATAAAATAAATAAAACGCGATAAAATCCGTAAAAGTAGTTTTAATCAATGTATAGCGTTCGCGTAAATATAAGAAATCATTAGGTTTTTATATTGTTAAGAATAATAATGTGAGAGCCGATGTTCACTCCGCTGCTTACACAAATAATTATTATAAGAAAATAGATAAAACACTGCCCACCACCAGTTCATTTTCCTCTGTCGCCTCTTACGACACCTACGAGACGATATGAGTAGTGGATATTGTTACACCGCCACTGCATGGTTCACAAAACATTCACTAAAGACCGATTTACACTTCGACAAGTACAGTAGCGAGTTAACTTGTGAACCTAGCGAGTTAAGTTTGAACCTCGTTTGAACGGCAGTAAGCGGGTTAAGTAGCAAGTTAACGATTAAGTTGAACGGGATAGCCGGCCGAGCTATTTTTCGGCGAGTTAAGTGCGAAGTGCTGCCCTCCCGCGCGTCTCCCGCCACCCTCAACTAAACTCGCCGCTCATGTGAACGAGCGTGTTTAGTTCAATGCATAAGTTGACGGGACGCAACGTTTGCGCGCCAAAACGTACAATTGTACTTTTACAATTAAACTCGCCGCAAAGTTTGTACGATAGTGTTTATTGAATATTTATACTTTTTATATTGAGTTTTAATAATAAAATGGACGGAAGATATCACGTATAAATTTGTACAGCAGTATTTAGAATACGAATGTTTATATAATAGCAGAAGGTTAAAATTGTAAAATTAAACCTGCTCGAGATACCGCACTCAAGAAAATTCTTGAAAAACGTTTTTAACAACAACCATTAATACTTCTCTGACGATCATTTAATTCTTGACTTAATCTAGAACCATCTTAAACGAAAGCCAGAAAAATTCTGTAGCCTTGAAACGTCATACTCCAACGAACTCTATGAACTAATGTCCTTAACTAAACTCGCCACGAAGACATTGTTTGAACGTCACTGCCCACTTAACCGTTAACTGTCAACTGCCCTGTAACTAAACTCGCTACTGTACTTGTCGAAGTGTAAATCGGTCTTAATTTAGTTTTATGTAGAGAAATTATATTTAATATTCCTACAGATCTCTTCAAGAAGACTTAGGCAGTAGAATTCATCCCGAGATAATTTTCAAGCGCCACTCTTTAAGCTTTTCCCAGAATTTCCACTCGCGGGAAAGCGGACATCGAACCCAATAATAAATCAAAATAAATAAGTTACTTTAGTAAGTTATATAATCAATTCAGCAAATCTGAAGATTAAACCGTACAGATAGACAGGCAATCAAGTACTTTTCCAAATGTTTAATTATGCAGATTGATTATGCAAATGTGTTCTACCCTGATTTCAACCCAAATCTTCTTAACAAGCTAGAGCGTCTTCTGAATAATCGTATTAGATATATATACGATATATGTAACGTAATTAACGCTCACCCTCAGATACCCCAATTAGTATATTATGTTATAATTATAACACATACACTGAATTTTAGTTAAACATTTTTATGCACTGATTATTTGTCAAATTAGTTATGCTAATTCCGGAAGAATGATGTGGTCACAGTACAAATCCACGATTAACGTGC